GCTGCGGCGGCGGCTGCGGCGGCGGCAGCAGCTCCGCGGCGTTCCTGCCCGATCCCCTCCTCCACGCTCCCGCCTCCCGCCTCCCGCCCGCAGCCCCAGATCGCAGCGCGCACGCGCGCAGCCGCCCGCCCACCGCGGCCATTGGCTCTGAACTCTTCCTGGCACGCCTCCCCCGGAGCGGCCGCACGCACGCACGCTCGCAGGCGTCTCCCTTCCTCTTAACAACAACTGCTTCGATGCTATTGGGTAGTTCTGACCCCACCCCTTCAGCTTTCTCCATGCCCATAGGCTTGTCTCAGTGTCACTCACTCCCCGTAGGGGTTTATGGTTTTCTGGAAGGGGCCCGCGCCAGCGATTGGCTGGTAACGAAAACCTTTGGTTTGAAGCTGTTGCTCTGCACCCCGCAGTGCGGACCCCTCAGGACTGACTTGGGGGGGTCCCTAGCGCGGTATCCAGGCCAGGATTACTATTACAGTGTCCTGGAGGTAAGGGCTTCGCCTGTGGAAAAGGCCCAGGATTCGGTGCTTCTGAATTCAGGTTTTTGCCTTTTTTTTTTTTTTTTAATGGAAAAATGACTGACAAGGGTGACGAGCAGACAGGACGCAGGTTCCTAGTCCCAGGGGAAGCAGCCATATCTCCTCAGCGGTAGAACTCAAGATCTCCCTTCCAAACAGCCAGGGCCTCCCCGGGGTCACGGACCCCGAGCCTGTGGGTTTGCCCCTCAGCCAGGTACCGGCTGGGGCGCTTCTCCGTGAGCTGCCTGTTGCCCGTGTGCAGCGGGCAGCCCCCCAGGGCGCCCAGCGCCCCGGGTCCTTCGTGAAGCAGCACCTCACAGCCCTGGTCGGGCCGGATTCCACCCTCCAGGGCGGCGTTTGTTAAACGGGTGGTTAGAGCCTGCGCCACCCCAGTCTGTCGGAACAAAGTGCGTTTCCCTTCAGCAAATCTCCCTTCTTTCGTTACCTCTTTGGAAGCACCTCTGGGCCGACCACAGGCATAACTGAAAAGCTAAACTTCCCCGAACTGAATGGGAAGGGAGGAGAGATGGGTCTGTCCCGCTGCCAGCGCCTGGAGGTCGTGCTCCTTTGGGCAGGAGGCCTGGAGAAAAGGGAAAGAGCCCCAGATGCTCTCAGTCCCGACAGTTTTTTGAGGGGCGGGGTCGTGAGGCTGGGTGAGTAGCTTCAGTTCCCTTGAGACCCTGCTCCTGGCTTAGAATCCAAGTGTCGAGTACCCCTGGGGCCTAGCAGCTAGTTAGGGCCCCTTTTTAAAAAATGGCTCAGTCGTTCATGGACTTGGCTCCATAGGGCCTCAGCTGCTCGGGGCAGAGCCAGGACTGGCACCCAGCGCTCCCGACTCACAGATCTTAGGTTCCCTCCAGCCTCCTTAGCAATATGACCCGCGGGCACACAAAGGAATGCTGCTTTAACTGAAATTAAACGTTCTCCGTGTATTGCCAAGGGTCGTTCCCTGGCACCTTAGGGGGCAAGTAGGCCAGCCAGGAGGCTGTTTTCCCTGAGACAGCCCCACCCTCAACCCTTCTACCTCATTCTTTCTGGTGTGTTCTTGCTGCGCTATTGTTAACTCCCTTTTTTTCCCTCCTACCACTACCTGAAATCCATCTATGATTCTGCTTTTCCAGATTTATCACCAAGCACTCCTGTGTCAGCGAAACAGGCCTGAACAGGCCTTTCTTAAAAGTAGTAATGGCTGAAAAGCATGGAGTTAGCTCTGTGCCAGGCGCTGTTCCAAGCCCTCGCTGGAGAGTAACTCGGTTGATCACACAACACCCCCGTGAGAGAGGATTATTATCTCTGTGTATTATCGCTGTTAGGAAACTGCCACACAAGGAGTTTCATTTGCCCAGGTTCACACTGCTAAGAAGCATTGGAACCAGGATTGAGCCCAGGAGGTCAGGCTGCAGACCCGTTCCCTTCTGCCTCTCCCAGTTTCTTTTGGAAGACGGTCCCCTTGCCAGATCGGTTCAGTTGGATGTTCTGTTGTGTGACTTGCCAGCTCCTTCCTCCCCTACTTCTTCGAAATCTTCCACCTTCAGAATTGGGCCTCCCTCTAATGGGCAGTTCAGGTCCTTTCTAACTGACTTTCCAGACCTGGGCCCCATGCTGGCATGCCATCTAGCTCTCCTTTTGTTCCTTCTTTGATTGTGGACCCCTGTGGAGTGATGCCCCCTTAATAAACATACACTGTGGGTAGCTTACATAAAACAGCTTTCTTTTCCCATGCTTATACCCCACACAAGGACCTCTTCAGAAAAGGCCCTTATCTGCCACATTGAAACTCTATTCTCCATCACACATGACAGCCATGACTTCTTTTGCCATTTCTATTCCGTGTCTTTAGTCATCACTCTTTAAAGCTAGACTAGCTTTGCCCCAGATTAAAAGCACCTGACACCTGGCAGACCACATGCTATGCCCTCCACAGTTCCTTCTCCAGCTAAGAGATCTGCCAGTGAAGGGAGAGGAGATCCTTCCCTCCCCCAATCCTGCTGGCTCCTATTACTGCTGTTTCTTTACCGGTGAAAATGAAGAGCAGAGCCCTTAGCCTTGGCTCACTTAGTGGAAAAGCCTCTGCATGTGCTCTGAGTACTTCTAGTCCCATTTCATTGTGTCCAAGAGAATATTTCTGGAAGTCTACAAGGATCTGTTTACACTGGTCATCTCCAAGGAGACCTCAGAGGGAGGTGGAAAATAGCAGTGGGTCTAAGAGCGCTTTTCACCCCTTTGTGACACTTGAATTTTGAACTATGTTAATATATTACCGTTTTTTAATGAAAGAGGGGGAAAAACTAACTCAAATAATCTGCTGAACTGAAAGCTGACAGTATTGGAGAGGAAGGTAACTTTTTTTCACTTTTTAATCATCTGTGTCAACTGCATTTGTCACAATAAACACCTTGAACTTTTTTTTTTTTTTCTGTACAAAATAAAGGTCACGCAACACTGAGTACTTCCAGGGATGTGACTGGCACCTGAAATGTCCCTGCTTGATGATAAGGATTCCTGGTACATACAGTGGGGGAGCACTTTCCATTCCCCACGTGACATGGCCTCACATGCTGCAAAACAGGGCTTCCCACCTGCTCCCTGCTTCCCAGCAGCTCCCCAGCTCTGTCCCCCGTTGATGCCCTCCTGTCCTCCGTAGTAATTAAAGACGAGGCAGAGATGCCAGTGGGTCTATTTTTCTCCTTTCCCTTCCTTTGTGTCCACTTTGCCTGAGGTGTCTCCCTCAGAGAGTCAACCCAGCTCATCATAGAAGCTCAGCGAAAACCCAGGATGACCTTGACTCAAGTCAGAGACACATTTTCAAATACAGGCCTTCACAGATCCCTGCAGCTCTGTTCCTGCTCTTTGCAGCTTCGCTTGCTGCTCATACTCTGCATGACTTAACACACAGGCTGTCTGATTTCTGCGTATGCCCTGCTCCTTCACAAGTGGCAATCTTTCTTTCTTTCTTTTTCCCAGGTTACATCACAAACAGGATTGAAGCTCCTTTGATACACAAAATGTTATCTCCAAGCACAGTGACAGAAAGGGGGGATACTGCATGGACTGGGGTCCCTGTTCTCATGGAGCTTACATTCTAATGCGGCAGAAGTCAGAAGTCCACAA